ATGCTTGAGAAAAAGAAGAGACATAAGAGAGCATGGATTCAAATTCTGGAAAGGATTTTTAAGGCGATAATTGTGATGCCGCTGAACTCGAATTAATTTTTTTTCCTCGCTCGGTTGTAGGAAGACTTGTAGGAATACATGGAGAACCTAACTCGTTTTAAAGGAATAATTATGATTGAGTTTTTTTTAAAGTAAAATATTTATCACGGTTCGCACTTCGCAGTGTGATTAAATCGCACATGATTAAATAGTACTAAAATGACCAAAACACTAGGCAAATACCACATGAGATGTGGTATTTTGAGTAAGTGGATATTGGAAAATACCACGTTTGGTTTAGATTTTTGAAAAAAATACTAGGCAAATAGAATAGATGGGAAAATGACTTTTGTGTTGATTTTTGGATAAAATTCACTGTTACAGAATACCACTTGAGATATGGTATTTTGAGATAACTGAGGAAGTGAAAAAACAGGTGCAAAGTTTCTCCTGAACATAGATTTTGCAAATTTAAATAAATTTCCCTGGTAATATTTCGGTCAACCAAACAACTTTTTTTACATTTTCCTACCAAACTCACTTTCCAACCATTTCCCTAGTAATCACATTTTCCTAGTATTCAAAAAAAATTTCCTCGACCAAACGCCCCTTAAATTTAATCTTAACTAGAGTTTGTCGTAAAAATGTTAAAGTCCTCTATATATTCTGTCTGCTAAAATAAAATAAAAAATAGATTAACGATTACGTCAATGTGTGTCAATATGCTTAATCCAGCAGTATATAAAGCATCATTCCAGGTAAGAAATAGTATGAGAGCATATCGTGTCTTGTATTAACTTTTCCCCAAATTTATAAACTTCTGCACTTCTTGCTTCGTGTATTTTTTTTTTTTTTTTTTGAGATATTCCAATCACGACTAGTCTAATTTGAAGTAAGTCCGAGACTGAGACTTTAAATTCCTAGCGCCAACTAAATTACCATCATTTGATTCTTGCTAATGTAGTTGGATCTAGGGTTGGCAAAATGGGCCAACCCGACCCAACCCGCGTTCAACCCGGAAAAAATGAGCCTGATTAAGGTTGACTCGAAAAATAAACGAGGCAGAAAGCTCAATCCAACCCGACTCGAGTCGGGTTAGGGTTGGCTCGCGAGTTGACTCGAAAAAATAGAAAAATAAAATAAAATTCCATTGATGCTATAACTTTTAATTTTTTTTTCTAAATTATTAATTCATTCAATTCAAAGACATTATACTGATAAACCATAGAAAATTTTGCATTTGGACTTGGACTTATTGACAGTTGGCACCACATTCACACTGTCACACATACTATAAAAAAGATGATCCTTAATGCACGGTTTTGGACTTATTGGCAGCAGCTGCAGAGTATTTTTGTTTGGGTCTTTGGAATTGAGATTTTAAATTTTAGCTTTCCACTTTACTTTCATTAATTTTTATACTTTTATATTAAAAAAAAAAATATAACCCGCGAGCCAATCTGTTTGACTCATGGGTTGGCTCGGTTTTTTTCGAGTTGACTCGAGTTACTAACTAATTTTTTTTTAACTCAATCTGAATCTTTTTAGCTAGGTGACTCATTTTTGCCGAGCCTAGTTGGATCCAAGTTGGTTGAACCAGTTGCATCTTTGTACCTTTATGCCCCATTATGTTCTCTCTTTGATATTTGGGATCACGATCCTAAGCGGATTAAAATAAGTGGTTTAGAAAATTTATTGTTAAAATTAATTTCTTATATAATAAAATATAAAAACTAAGTACAAGTTATTGATTAGGAACCGTAAATCTAACATTGCAGTGAATCGCGATCCCTATCATTTCGTACCAGTATTATGCTTTTGTGTAGGCCGTTCACACTTGTCTGCCATTTTCCGAGAATTTTAGATCATGATTGTCACTTTTTTTTGCTATGTGAGCCCTGTAGAGCCATATTATTGCAAGCATCTTTATCCTAGCCAGATTCTTAAAAGGAAATGCTTCTTCTAGTGGTGGTACTGGTAAGTGGTAACATCTCCAAGCATAAATTCCTTTAACAACTTACCAATAAAATATATATTAAAATGCAGCATTATATTTCCTTTTCAATAGTTATGCAAGTTGCAAGGGACTCAATAGATACCGTGGTAACAAACTAATTATTCGAATCGAATAGTGCTAATCAATGGGCATATGGGGAACGGGCCAATGTACATTTTCTGCAGTTTTTTAAGTGAGTTTATCAATAAAGTAGACAAATAAAGGTGTGTTTATCTTTGATTTAATTTACAGTACCTCACAATTTTTAAAAAAAGAGAGTAATGATGTGTTTGATCGTGTTCTGATTTTTTTAAAACTATTTTCTAAAATAGTTAATGAAATATGTGTTTTATGTGTTTTTTTTTTAAAGTTAAAAATCCCAACCTAAAACAAAAACAACTGAAACATAGCCTATATATATATGAATGTTGGAATTTGACACCAAATTCTAAATGTTAATTTTCGTCGATCAACGATTTTCATATATTAGGAATCAAACTTATTAATTAACTATTAATTCTTAATAAACGATAATCGTTAATTGGCGAAAATTAACGGTTAAGATTTGGTGTCAAATTTTAAAATTTGACACCAATGTCAAAGGATCTTGCCTATATTTATCGTATAAATAGAATTAACTTAAGAATATATATTAGTAATTTCACCCCGTTATTAAATTTTCTCGTTCCGTCGTTTTCAAGGGTGTTCAACATTAGCTGAAAGTTTTTTTTTTTTTATAACAAAGCTGAAAGTTTTTTAATTAGCAGGTATCTTGTTTTTGTCAATTCTTGGAATTATGGATTATTTAAAACTAAACCAATCCAATCAAAATTGAAAAAAACCATCTGAATAACTAAAAATTGAATAAACCGAAAAAATAAAAAATAAAAAATAATTGAATTTGATTAGTTTTAAAATAGTATTTCTCCTAATTTTTTTTTCATGTTATTCATACTTATTTAATAACTTCTCTATTATATTTCAACCATCCCCCCTCTTAAATTTAGACATAAAGTGTAAGAATAGTAATATTATTTAGACCTTGTATTTTGATGTATTTGTTTAAACTTGTATTTAGTATATTTTGATGAATTAATTTAGACTTGTATATGATATATTTTGATAAAATTAATTTTTCATATTTTGATGAATTTATTTATTGAAAAATTCTAACAAATTCGCGAACATTCTAATATTGAATTTAAATCGTTAGGACCTATAATATATTTACATATTGATCTTTCAAAGATATTGGTTGGACCAATAATTATTGGGTTGGGCCTAATCAGATACGGTTTAAGATAAATGATATTGATGAAGAGAAGGGTTGTTGAAGAGTGGATTGCCGAGATGATATCCTGCTTGACGAGATAATTGATCTAGTTCTCCTAGAGTTTGAGCAATTTGAGGAGACTAGAGGTGAGAACCTGCAAGACACTCTGACGTTCGAGTTAGTTCAGTATTCAAGGATATATGATTTTACCTGGGCTGAATGCCTCTATATTTATAATGGAATGATGTCTTGCTCCGTGTCGCCTTTCTATGGCGATATTCATTTCTAATGATGGAGTATGGTGTCCTTTTATAAGCTATTTATTGGGCAAGAAGCCTACATTCAGGCTAGCCCTAGTAGATGTAGCGGCGAGCTGGTGCTGCCCTTCATTCTTTTGATTGATGTGGAGGTCAAGTTGCCTTGAGCTGCTGATCTCGCCAATGATGTTTCTTTGCATACTAAGGGTGTGCATGACATGCAACCATCCGAGAATCATTTTTTTTTAATTTCTGTTCCTGGGAACAGAAACTGATAGAAACAGTGTTTGGTAAAACCAGTTTACTTTTATGTTCCGGAGATGAGCCAGTTTAATTTTTGTGTTGGGGAATAAAAAAACATTTGTTTCTCCGTTCCAGGGCACAAAAAGAGAATCATTTTTCTGCTTTTTTTTTTTTTGCATTCGCCACTCTCAACCTTTTCTCTAAAAAAAAAATGACGCCTCCTGCTCCTTCGACGATTCTACCTTCTATAAGTTTTTTTCTCTTCCCCTCTTTTCTCCTTTGGTTTTTTCTTCTAACATTCTTCTCTTCTCCCCTACTATCACAACTTCTCTGTTTTGTTGTTCTTTATTTTGTTCTTTTACACTGTTGTTGTTGTTTCTTGCTTTGCTTCATTTTTCTACCGTGATACCAGGTAAATTCACTCTCTAATTCAATTTTTTATTTGATAAATTTTGATTTCTTGTTTTGGGGTTTTTGGCAGGAGTCGATTTAATTTGATTCTCGGAATAAAAATAAAATGTGTTAACAAACATAATTCTGATTCTCGGAACTCCAAAGCACATAATAAGAAAAAATTTGTTTCATCTTAGAAATAGTGTTGGGAAACAGAATAATTATCATGCACACCCTAAGTCATTCTGGCTATCAGCCAAGTTGGAGAGATGCCATACGTAGGATGAACTTTGTTCCTTCGAGGTTAGATTTGTGATTTTTGGGTCTTCTGGGCCTTTATTGGATTGAGCTTTCTTCTCACATATATCAGGCCTACATCAGATATATATATGATATCAATTTGTCCTTTGTAAATAACTAAATCAAATTAATCTTCCAAAAGATATAATTATGGCATCAAATTGGCTATCTAATTATAACATTGATAATATGACTTATGATTACGGTCAAACTTTATTTTGCTGAAATAATGTGAATTTGACCGATCAAAATGGTTTATATATATATTTTATTATACTTTTATCCCTTCTTCTACCTTCACTGTGGGTCCTTCGGCCCCGGTACCACAATGGTAGAATAAAGAGATCAGCTTCAAATAAATAAATTAATTAAATAAAAAGTAACAGCAACAGTGTCAACAACTTCTATTCTATATATGTAGCAGATGTGAAACTATTCTTCAACTTGAGCTTGTGTAGAATTTTTCAGGGCAATTGTTGAGTAGAGCTTGTAACTGAGGTCATGGCTCAAGTTTGTGTCCTTGAAGCAAAGGTGCAACTCAAATCATGTCCTGAAAAGTTCTATAACTTTCTCAAGAGCCAAAACCAGCACATTCCAAATAATGCACACAGCGAAAACATGCATGGTGTTGAGATTCATGAAGGCGATTGGGAGACTTCTGGCTCTGTCAAGCTTTGGAAGTATAGCTTAGGTATATCAATTATTATTATTATTAAGTTAATACACACAAATTATGTATGATATATACAGACTTTCTTTTTTCCTTTAATTAATTTGTAATATGACATATATATGTGAGGGTAAGAAATAGCATACACTCCAAAACCATTTCTCATTTTAAAAAACCCATTGTAAATTTTCAAGTTTAGATAAAAGCCCTTAAACTTTCAAAAACTTGTAATAAACCCTCTCCATACATAAATTAACAAAACCATTCATATATAATATGAATTATTGATTAATATACATGATAATTTCTGATTTGATTATCGTACTTTTAATAAAATTGAAAAATCTTTCCTCATTTTAAGTTAATTTGCTTTTAAATTCAATATTTTAGTTGTAATTAAATAGGAAAAAAATAAAAGGGATACTTTGCTCAACATAATGGATTAATTTGACATATTTGTGTGTCTTAATCAATTTGCATGCATGAACTTTAGCTAAATAAGTGGACATGAGGATGTCCATCTATACATTTTCTCTACATGTGAATTTGATTTTGTCAAACTAAGAAATTTCAATATTGTTTTGGAGGGAGGTTATAGTTATTATATTTTTTTCTTACTACCAAATCTTAATCGTTGATTTCTGTCAATTTAACGGTTATAACTTATTGAGAATTAATAGTTAATTAATAAATGTGACTCAATAAATTATAACCATTAGATTGACGAAAATTAAAGATTAAAATTTAATAGTAAAAGATAGTAAGAAAAAAAAATAGTAAGTACAATATCTCCCGTTGTTTTGTATTGCATATTTATCAATATAATAAATGTGAAAGCCGTGAAGCCATAAACCTGGTAGACAACAGAAAGTATAGTTATTGAAAAATAACGAACAACTTTCCAAATCATCCCTTGATTCATATTTTATTTGATTGGGTAAACTTAAAATATTGTGATATCTAAAAGCCAAAGTCAGGCAGGCTATTTTGTCCCATATTATCTGTCATTATTGTTTTATCATATATTTTTTTTCATAATATATTTATTTATTTGCCCTTTTTGGATTTACATGATTAAATATCTCAATAGAGTTTATAGTTTTCTTCATTGTTTGTACTTATTGCAGAAGGAAAAGAGGAGATATTCAAGGAAAGGATTGAAGTGGATGAAATAAACAAGACTATAACTTATGTTGCAGTGGGAGGGAATGTTTTGGAGTTGTACAAAAATTACAAGGCCATCGTGAAGGTTGAGAATATTGGAATATTGAAATTGAGATTAGAATATGAGAAGCTTAATGACGACATCCCACCTCCAAAGAAATACCAGCAGTTTATCATTAATATTGTTAAAGACATTGATGCAATCTTAGTCAAAGGTTAAACTGTGATATGTAAGGTGTAACCGTTGAGTTTTATGGCGGCGAACTCAAAGGTGGTTGTTCTGCGCTTTATATTTGAAGCAAACAACTTTTATATATATATATATATATATATATATATATATATATATATATATATATATATATATATATATATCAATAAATGGGTGACTCTCTGTAGGGGTGATAAACGAACTAGGAGCCTTTGGCTCGGCTCATGAAGGCCTGAGTTTATATGCCTAAAATTGATTGTTGAAACCAAGTTTGAACTTGTATAAAAGCTCGTTTAATAAAAAGACCGCATGTTTCAATTCAAAAGCTCGGTCTTAGAGCCTCTCAGTCTGGTCTAGTATATTAATTTTTATTTTTATTTTATAATTTTTATACTACTTGTAATAGTCTTCTCTCTCTTTCCTCAATCTATTTCACCTCATTTTATTAATTAAACAGCAGACATTTTAAATGATTTTGTTCTATATTATGCTGTTTGGATATACATTGAATTTATATATATTTATGAAATTACTAGTGCTGTTGATTGTACATTATTATAGTAGAGAATTTGTAACTTAGCTTGTTTGATGACAAATCTCCCCCTACCATGGGCTTCCCTAATTACCCAACAATTGAAACGTTTTTCGTTGAAAAATAATTTTTATTAGAAAAAGAAAAAAAATGTTTCTCGCTCATTGGAGATTAAGTTATGTTTTGAACTATCAAATTACATCATTTTGAAATTTGAGAATAAAAAATATAGGACATTTTAGAGACTTTGGCTTCTCTCTTACAATGAGTTTCTTCAAAATGATATCATTTAGGAATCATTGGAGATAATTATAGTGAAAAAAACAGAAACAAAATTTATAGTGATCGAAATCCAATTAAATTTAAGGAGAAATAATTAGACTGAATTTTCACCGTTAATACGAGATCAAATTAATTAGATTAGATAGGGATTCGTTCTATTGTAATATTGATAGAATTGCCCAAATTTAAATAAAATTAGAACTAATTAACATCCATTTATATTGGTTTTAATCTTTTTGTTTTTTTGTTCATATATATAAAAGAAGATGAATCATATTTTTTTCTCTTTTTCTCTCTCTTCTTTTTATAGAATCCCATCCTTCTCATAAGTGTGTAGCAGAAATATTATTCCTATTAACCCCCAAGGATAGCTCAGTTGGCAGCTGAGCTCCCAAGGGATTGCTTGGTGCAGGGATCAAATCCTGCCTCAAGCAGTTTTCTACCCCTACAATGAGGGGCTAGCCCAAACGGGCCGTGCCCGGAGAAGGTTGAATGGGGATACCTCCTGGCAATGTACCAAAAAAATAAAATAAATATTATTCCCATTTATATTTTATATCCGTTTATTATTGTAGTGAACCCTTTCACATATATTTTACATAATCAATACATCAGTAGGCATCTAATTCAAGTTTACTCATTACAAAGAAAAGAAGCAAACATCCTTATTCTTTATCCAAGTTCACGCTACTTATTTAGAAAAGCACTAACCTCAAGCCAAACCCACTATTCTTTTATTCCTTACAACTTTAATTTGGTGCTATGCCTGGACGAGATGAGTATCAATATCTTTAGTAATCTTGGTGAAGAGGTCCACATAGCTATAAGGAGGTTCAACTTTCTCATTGATCTTCTCATATTCAAAAGTCCATTTAACGAAAGCACTACCATCATCCTTATCAATAGCTTGAAAGATGAGCTTCAAGGTCTTGAACTGCTGACTTACATCTCCTTCAAAAACGTTGTATGTGATTATCATGTTCCTTTCGTCAATGGCGTCAATGTTATCCTTGCATGTTACAACCTTTCCATCTGTCATGTCAGAAGTAATTAATTAAGATCAACAACAAAAAAAGATTAACCAATCCTTTTGCTATTTACAACAATAATTAATATAAGGAAAAAAAGAGAACATAGTGCACTGGACTCTAGCGAGAACATAGTGCAAAAATATTACAATGATGTTCTCTTCGGGAGAACATAGTTATAATTTTACTATAACTGTGTTCTCGCGAGAGAACATAGTACACTGGACCGATTGTTACATCGAGTCACTATGCTCACTAAACCCTTAATATAAATAGAAGCTTAATCACCTATGACGTAAGTCCAGTGTCTAACTGAACCAATGTTATACCAGTCCCCTTGCTGCAACTTGGTTTGATGCACTCTTTCAGTAACGTTCTGAACGTGGTGAAGTTGCTTCAAGACAAAGTTGAAGAACTTTGTAGCTGTTGTTCGGATTCCATGTTCCGTACTCACTTTACCACTAAGACTAACCATGTCTCTGGAAACAAAACAAACAATAGGAAGTAGAGACGGATGAGAAATGTGGATGGATATTCAGCATATAGTTTGACCTTATATAGAAAATAGCTTACCCACTAGTAAAATATGAATTTTAAGAAATTCTTGGTTATCATTTTCCAGCATGTATGCAGTTGAAGAACTAAATTTTTTTATTTATATCTGCATAATTAATAGTGGGGTTGTGGGGGGAGGGCAGGGTCCTCGAATTTTTCTTTTAAAGATACTGTGAATAGTTTTGCATATTGTAATTTTTTTTTTTAATAATCATAAAGTAAGCTACTTCTAGAGGAAATTTTTTTGGGTGCTCCAGCCCCGTGTGATCCTTCTAATCAGGGAGTATCACTTGAACAAAAATATATTTTTCATTTCTCCTTTATTCTTTATTTTCAATAGTTGTCTGATTTTGATTGATCTGGATCACTGAGTTAATAGTGGTCCGAGACCACCGAAATTTTTCTCCTTCTAGAATTCTAGTTACAGTTTTGCATCTCCTTTAAAAATGTTAAATTTTTAACTAGTGATTTGTGGCTATGATACAATGGAATGAGACCATCGAGCATTTGTTCTCGGTGGCTACTTTTTTATTTTTTCTTCAAAAGTTCATCGAGTATTTGTGGCTGTGATACAATGGAATGAGATCATCGAGTATTTGTTCTCATTGGCTACTTTTTTTTTTTTTTCTTCAATAGTGTGTGCACACATGTAGGTAGTATATATTCACATAAAAATGCACACACTTGCAAGTTGCAACAATGTAGGTAGTGCTGTATATATGTCATAATGTTTTTTTAACAACCAATTGTTCATGCAACTCTGGACTAGAATAATGGTTAAATAAAGTCATATTCACATGAACGATTGTAAAATTTGAATCCCTAACATTGCTAGTAAGTTTCGTCCGAAGTTACAAGTTATTTCTACCGCCACTACAAAAAATGCGGTGATTGGGCACACTAATTTAGGCACATTTTGTTTAATTGTAGCGAAAATGAGGGAAGGAGGAAATTCTTGAAAGATCTTAATCACGTCACAAACTTTTTCTCTTATTGCTTAATTTTTTAATTAGAAGCTGAAGATCCAAAATTCGACTCTCTCATTTTCTCCCCCTACTTTTCTTACTCTTGATTGTCCACAAGAACTAGATTTCCCTAACTTTTTTCTATTGGTTTCATCCCCATCTTCTTCCTCAACCTCCATCGCGAGTTTGTGGTCGCTGACAAAGTCCATTCGCAGCGTCACCGTGAGAATCTTTGGAATCGACCACTTTAAGAATGTGAAACTATATTGAATTCTTTCTGAGATATGCTCAAATAAATGGTTATTTTCCATGACAACTCGTATTTCTTGATACCATCTGGTATATTTGTGGCATTTGTTATCAGGCAAACCATCTTTTACTAAGAAACAAACAGATCTGTTCTTCCCTCCGGACTTTGCTGATGACTTTCCTGTATCGATGCAGGTATGTGTGCAAACTTCAATAACCATTTAATATTCTCTGTTCTTCTTGATAGACATGTCGTTAAATGTTTGATATGTTTTTGTTGTGCAGATTTCAAATAAATATGGATTGATATATGTTATCACAAAGCTTGGGCTTTTATTTGTCTATGATCTGGAGACTGCAACAGGAGTTTATAGAAACCGAATCACTCCCGATCCTATATTTTTGACATCAGAAGCATCATCAGTAGGGGGTTTTTATGCCATCAATAGACGTGGCCAGGTGTTGCCTTCTACTGTAAATGAGGCAGCCATTGTACCTTTTGTTAGCAGCCAGGTAATTTGTGATTTTTGGTTAAATGGAATACATGGATCCTACTTCTAAATGTTTCTTTCGAACTTTTGCGGCTAAACAATTTAGAACTTGCTGTTAATCTTGCTAAAAGAGGAAACCTCCCTGGTGCAGAGGAATTGGTAACATGAGTTGCTTTTGGTTAATTTTGTGTTGTTATCAATGTTAAACTTCACAAATGGACTTTCGAAACTGGCTGACTTTATTGAGTTGGATGATTGTTTTGCTATAATATTTTTCAATTTTTGGTGTATGATGCTCTTTGCCTTAATATATTATAGTTGTCTGAAAAGTATTCCACCAGTATGATGATCTAGAACAATTATCAGCAACGCAACTAGCATAAAAGTGCAAAAGAAGTATAAACAATATATTATTTGTTTGTGGTAGATGCTTGTGTGCATAGGTTTTTTGACTAATCATACTAGAAAGGTCATTTTACAGTTTTTAAGTTCTAGGTATTTGGGGGAGTCTTGATAAAAAATGTGCCAAAGAGTATAATATTGGTGAAATTTGTGCAATTTAGAGACATGAAAAAACTATGTAATCCTGATGAGAAGTATCTACAAAATTAATCTCACTAATCTTTTTATCAATGAAAAGATAAAAGTACTCCTAGTAAATGAGTAGTCAGCAAATAAGTCTTGATGAGGTTAATACTCCCTTGCACTCACCAATTTATCCTCGTGCCATTTAGAGAAGCATCGCAGGGCATCCCTCATCCAAGCATGTCGGCAGCTTCCACGTGCCTCTGATATAGTCAGCCAACTCCTATTTCTAGTACTTTGCTCAGGCCATTACTCAAGTTCCTCCTTAACAAATAAGGCAAACATTGCTGCTCTACATAAACCTTTTGGACTGAACTCATCTTGGTGAGTCTTACTTCTAAATTCATAGTACCCAAGAAAGTCCTGACACACACAATAGCTCTAAATATTAACCATTGGTTTGCATGCATCCATCCATACAAACAACATCAAAAAACAACATATAAAGATCCAACAGCGTTGTTGTCAGTTGAATTAAACAAAATCAAGAAACTAGGAATTTCAAGGGACATCAGTTTAAGAATATGCAAGGTTCAAGAACAGGCCTAATTCAGATGAGACCAAAACCATATAGTACCACTGATTTTTGCTCAAATCTGAAAAATTGCCAGTATATAAGAACAATTATGAGATAATTTACCAATACTATTTCAGGCTCGAATTTGGCTAATATATTACCTGATTCTTGCTCCTTATATGTTAATGTGGCCTTAACTGGCTACACATAGATGTAAAATTAGCTCAAGTTTTTTTTTTTATTTTGGGCAAAATTTTGTTGCCTAAAATACAATTTGTAAAAAGGCAGGAGGAATAAAAAAATAAAGTAAAAAAACACAAATAGCATGTTGATCTGTTAAACCATGTTCAGTGACATGGTTTAAAGAAAAGAACAAGGATTATAGAACCTATTTTTTGTCACTGACACAAACTACGTAAATAAAAGACAGTCACATTAACTAATGCAGTGGGTACTTACACAAGCTGCAAACCTGAAGATGCTAAACTATCAGGTATGGAACCCTTTAACTGATTGTTGGATAAATCCCTACAGCAAACACTACAAATAAAATAAATACAATATAAAATAAATAATAAAGTTATATTTTGTTTTTGGCAAGACCAACAAGCATCCCTACACCCTTTAGGTGTGGGACTAGACTATTTTTTAATATAGAAGACATGGATGCATCGTGATATTAAAAATGACTTAAGAATTTAAATAACAAGTATTTTAAGCTAAAAATAATTGAGCGAAAAAACATATAGACTCTGCATATACCGTATTGGGTAATATGATGACTGTTGAATATCATAGATACAAGAGGAAATGATAGTAATCCTTGTTATGTTAAACTACACAACATTGGTGCTATTATATAGCAAACCAATTGAAGAATACAAAGAGACACACTCAATGTAGGACTTCTACACTATTAACACTAACACTCTTAACACTCCCCCTCAAGCTGTAGCATATAGATCATATGCTACAAGCTTGATACATAAATAATACTCCCATTAGTAACCAAAAACAACAATGCTACATCAACGAAATGAAATGACCAAGTACAACAAATCAACTGGAATGACCATCAGTCTGAAGAGCTGATAAAGAGACCGTGCTGGAATGGACATCAGAGCATGGATGGTGCCGGAATTATCATCGGCAAGACAACTGAGCTGACCAGGACATCAGCATCAAGATCCCTCTCAAACATTTCATTTAACAGTTGGTGAGCAGCCGTGGTTTCCCCTTGACTATGCTACAAGCTTATTACAAGAAAGACCAAGTAACATAACATCAAAATAAATCTCCTAAATGAGAAACCAAAAATCAACAATGTGCTAAAAATGGCGTCGAAATGAACATCAACATGGATGGTGCCGGAATGATCATCGGCAAAGACAATTGTGTTGGAATGACCATCAGCAACATGGACGGTGCTCCCCCTCAAGAGGAACTTCTAAACAGTGCCGAAATTATCATCGGCAAAGACAATTGTGCTGGAATGACCATCAACAACATGGACAGTGCTCCCCCTCAAGAGGAACTTCTAAACTGTGCCGGAATTATCATCGGCAAAGACAATTATGCTGGAATGACCATCAGCAACATGGACAGTGCTCCCCCTCAAGAGGAACTTCTAAACAGTGCCGGAATTATCATCGGCAAAGACAATTGTGCTGGAATGACCATCAACAACATGGACAGTGCTCCCCCTTAAGAGGAACTTCTAAACAGTGCCGGAATTATCATCGGCAAAGACAATTGTGCTGGAATGACCATCAGCAACATGGACAGTGCTCCCCCTCAAGAGGAACTTCAGTGTCGAAATTAACATCAGCGGAGACAACATCAGCAACATGGACAGTGCTCCCCCTCAAGATGGATGATGAATCGTATAAATACTCCATCTTGGGAAGAAAGAAGATTAAAGAAAAACAAAGCTTCACGGAATCGGAAAAGTCGCCGGAGACGGCGGTGGGTCGTCGGAAAAGTCGTCGGAGACGGTGGTGGATCGCCGAAAAAGTCGCCGGAAAGTCATCGGAAAAGTCACCGAAAAATTCGCTGGAGACGGCTGTCAACGGGGGACGACGCGGTCAACGGTGGTCGGTCAACGACAACGGTGGTCAACCCAACAACTTCCCAAGGATCATTCTTTTCTGATGTGACAGATCAGTCTAAGCTGCAGTCACAGAGCATACTAAGAAAAACCCGAAAAAGAAATAGCAACGGGAATCCCTCAAGGAGGGTGATATCTCTCTATAACCATATTGAAATTATAGAAAATAGAACTAAGTTAAACGGATTAAGATTCCTCTTGTTAGGCTCTAGATACCATGTTGAATATCATAGATACAAGAGGAAATGATAGTAATCCTTGTTGTATTGGAAGCTGATAGTAAATTAAAATAAAATAAAAGTCCACTTATCCACTCAGTTTAGTTCTGTAAAGCATTTGGATAACATCTAAAAACCACAAAACTTAGCAAGTAACTGTAACTAAGGGAGATAATATCATATCCTACAATTGTTTAGGGATATTTTACCGAGTGCAGAACGTATTTCACCCTCCAAGGAATTAGAACTTAAGTTCCTATAAAATTAAAGAGACGTTACCAATAACTAAAACCAAAATGAAAATGAACAAAGTTAATGTAGGAAAACACATGCTGCATGCAATAGAAGACATTTATGGTACATCATGGATACAAAATTATGGCCAACATGCATATAAATATAAGATTGAGGCTTGCACTAGAATCTGTAAGGAATTCTAGTACTCAAATCCACACAGAAAATTGCAGAAACATGAGGAAATAATTTAAATAATACTTTATCATTCACATATGCATTTCACCGAGCAGGTGGACTGCAAATTTGAGAGCAGCTCAAAACCACATCATTCATGCTCATTAACTCCCAACGGTTCATCACTATACAATATTCAATCAAAAACAAAACAAAAATTATCCAATTCTAAAATAAAATCTAAAATTAGAGCAACTAGCACTGAAAAAACCTAAAATAAATAAATTATTTTCAGTATTATCATTGTATTCTTATTTTATTTGACCAAGCAAACATGAGCATAAATCGAAATGGAGAAGATCAATTAATTAAAGGAAGGAAGATGAAACTCTACGAACCTGGATTGTCAAAAATTTGATGAGATTGAAAGCTTGTGGAGGAAAAAGAATTACCGAAGGTGATTGTTTTCAATTCGATACGAAGAAGAGGAGGATGTTGCTTGGGTATGTTAGAGCATAAAATTTGGGAGATGGAAAAGAAATTTCTGCAAAGAGAGTTTGGGCTTCGTTACTTAAGCACTTCAGAGAGTACCCCTTACTTGCCTGATAGCTTTCTTTACTAATTTTGCCACATGTAAGAGAAGTGTAGGTAAGTAAATATATGTACTCGCCGATTTTTTTGTAGTGTATATTATAAAGGGAAATTGAAGAGTTATGTGGCGGGAACATAAAATTTTCTTGTCACATATACATAGCAAACAACGCTAGCTTTTTTTTTTTTTTTTTAAAATAAAGCGGACCCCACAACCATTGTGTCTGTCAGGAAATTGGGGTCTTGTACTGTACTGTAACATTACATATATATACCTCATATATAAAAGTAGATGAATCATATTTTTTTTCTTTTTCTCTCTCATCTTTTTATAGGATCCCATCCTTCCTCTAAGTAGAGGTGTTCGAGATTTGAATTGAATTTGTTTTGAAAGAAAAAATATCGGATCCAATTCCTTCAGTTTGATTATGTAATCATCTATTCGATTTGAAATCCGATCCGATCCAATCATTTTTTTTCGGTTTGAATTGGATCGGATCAGTTTTCGATTTTTTGAAAATCTTAAAATTAGTTTCATGATTATTGTGCAAAAAACATCCTTTGTATATATTGGATTTGTAAAAAAAAAAATT